GGTTGCACACGACATTCAAGATGTGCGTGTTCACCTTCCTTCAGATTCTCTAAACTGACAAGTGGTGTCAAAAATACTGGTCTTTGGCCTTCTGGTTCAACTTCAGCCTTTTGTGGTCGTTCATAATTTTCCAAATCTTTTATTTTCTTCAAGCGCTGTTCATCTAATGTGTCCAAGTAAAGTCCTTGTTTGGCTAAAAACATAAATTATTATCAAAATAATTATACAATCACCAATTAAATTTAACTGTAAAATTATATTATATTCACCTGTGATATTAACAGAGCTTGTAGTGACTGCTTCCCCAGCTGCATTTCTTGCTTTGCACATGTATGTTCCTGAGTCTTCGGGGTATGCATATAAAATATCAAGAGCAACAAAGCCAAAATCATAAGTTGTTTTGAACCTATGACTTGTTTGATGGGTCGTCCATTGCAAACCATTCAACTTTCATAGTCGGATCGTTAACTGGTGTTAAAGTAGCTTCTAAATGAACTGCTGCTGCTTCCACAGTTTCCACGTTGCGTAGTGGGCGACCAAATTGAGGTTTCTCTGATATTAAATTGATCTTCAGTTGCACTTCTCTTATGACGAGAATCGTCTTCAAGATATTGTATCTTCTGTAAAGCACCCTCATGTTGTGTATCATAAATTATAGAGGATTTGGCTGTAAAATAAAAGTTTTTAATAAATAAGTAAACTCTAAACAAGTAAAAACAATTTCATAACATACGTTGAACACTCAAGTTGATGGAGGATTGAGCAGTTCCCAACCTGTTGGTAGCCTTACAGGTATACTGTCCAGAGTCTTCACCATACACAGTCAAAACATCTAGAGATGCAAATCCAAAGTCATATGATGTTCTAAATCTATGTCCAGTTTGCAAAGGTTTGCCATTATGGAACCATTCAACTTTAAGATTTGGATCTGGGTATGGTTCAATTCTACATTCATAGTGAGCGCTCTGGCCCTCCACCCGACTTGTTGGACCATTAAGCTGTGCAACAAATCGAGGCGCATCTCGAACAACAATATCTTCCTCTTCACGCCTAGTATATTTTGTATGATCTTCCAGTTGATGGATCTTCTGTAATGCCGCTTCATTTTGAGTTTCCAATTGTAGAGAAGCCTTGGCTACAATGGATATACATATGATATACTAATTAAAAATTAGGATAAATTGAATTAGTAACCTCATCTAAACTATATACATACATTGAACAATTAGCTGTGCTGAAGTAACAGCTTGCCCCAGCTCGTTAACAGCGCGGCATGTGTATGTTCCAGAATCTTCAGGATTAACGTACTTCATATTAAGAGCAACATAGCCAAAGTCGTGCATAGTTGTCATACGATTTGCTATAAATTTATAACATCATATCAATAAAGAACATCTAGTCATATTGAAATTTGTTAAATAATGTAGCACTTACATGCTTCGATCGGTACACCGTTACGCAACCATTCAACACGCATCTTAGGATCCCCTACTGGAATCAAGCGCGCCTCGAAGTGAGCTGCTTGATTTTCTGCAACTTTCAAATCTCGCACTGGTGTTGTAAACACTGGCGCTTGAGTAATAATCTCTTCTTCAATACCTTGTCTCTTATATCTGGATGAATCTTCAAGATGAGTAATAGTTTTCAAAGCGCCTTCATGCTGTGATTCCATGTAAATGGATTTTCTAGTATGAACTATAGCTACTGCGGATGTAACGGCTTCACCCAATGCATTAATTGCCCTGCATGTATATTGACCAGAATCTTCAGCCATACATTGCATTATATCCAATGCCACAAATCCAAAATTATTTGTCTCAGTAAATCTAGATCCTGATTTAACTGGAATATTGTTATGGTACCACTCGACCTTCATAGTTGGATCTGAAACAGGTATCAATCGACACTCAAAGTGGGCTCTTTGTCCTTCCTTAATTTCAACATTTTTGAGAGATGTTGTAAATATTGGCACCTGCTTTGTGACTTCTTCTACTTCTTCGGATCTTTGATATTTAGATCTATCTTCCAAATAATGAATTTGTTGTAATCCTGATTCATTTTGAGTTCCAGTTTGAATAGTGGCTGATACACTACATTGCAAAGTGCAAGTTGTTTCATCTGAACCGATCGCGTTAACAGCTCGGCAAGTATAGGTACCCGAATCTTCGGCAATTAGATCTACAATATCTAAAGCAACGTAACCAAAGTCGTGTATTGGTCTAAACCTGTGACCTACTGTTACCGGACGGCCATTTTTGTACCATTCAACCTTTAAGTTAGAATCAGTCACAGGTTCTAACTTGCATTCGAAATGCGCATGCTGACCCTCACGCATATTATTCAAATTCTTTGGTTTTGTTACGAAACGGGGTTTTACTGTAATTAATTCATCCATGTACTCAGATTTTTTATATCGTGAAGAATCTTCTAAATATTGAATTTTCTCCAAACCACTTGGGTGTTGCGATTCAGTTATTAAATCTTTCTTGGCAATAACACGTACTGAACAAGATGTCACAGCTTCGCCTAATTGATTTCTGGCTTGACAGGTGTATACACCTGAATCCACAGGATATACACTTAGTAAATCGAGTGCAACATAATCAAAGTCGTAAGCCGGTCGGAATCTATGACCTGTTTTAACAGGGTGTCCATTTACAAACCAGTCAACTTTCATGGTGGGATCTCCAACAGGTTGAAGCCTGCATTCCATGTGAACATTGGTGCCCTCAATGGTTTCGATGTTGTGTAATGGACGAGTAAAATGTGGAGCTTGCATAACAGTGATATCTTCTTGAAGAGTACGTCGTTGTCTTGAAGCATCCTCTAGCATCTGTATTTGTTCTAGTGACATTTCGTGTTGTGTTTCAGTATCAATATCTGAACGTCCAATAACGCGTACGCATGCAGATGTGTGAGCGCTTCCAAGATGGTTGGTAGCGCGTACGGTGTATTCTCCAGAATCGATAGAAGTTGCATGAATAATATCCAATGCAACAAACCCAAAATCATAGTATGTTCGAAAACGAGATCCAACGGTTACTGGACGACCGTTTTGGAACCATTCCACTCTCATAGTTGGGTCACCCATTGGCTCTAAACGGCACTCTAAATGTATGTTTTTACCTTCACTTACAGGCTTTGGATCAGATAGAGGCTGCACGAATACTGGCTTAGATTTTGAAATTTCTTCAATTTGGTATTGCGGTTCAATAAATTTAGAATCCTCCAATTTTCTTGTTTTTTCATAAGCTCCACGATGCATGCTTGCTGTATCAATACTGGAACGAGCTGAAAATATATAAGATATTTGAAGTTATGCCTAACATAGTTAATAAAAATTAATACAATTAATCTTAGTGGCTTACTTTCTACAGTCATCGTATTTGCAAGTTGTGCCTCTCCTAAAGCATTGCGAGCAACTACTGTATAACCACCTGCGTCTTCAGCTCTAACGGACTCGATATCTAGAGCTACATATCCAAAATCATGATAGGTTTGTATTCTATTAGCTGTCGACAAAGGTTTGCCATTATGATACCATTCAATTTTCATTGTCAAATCATTCTGCGGTTCTACTCTGGCCTCGAAATGGGCTCTTTGGCCCTCCACTATCTTTGTTGTACCTTTTAGCGGCCCCAGGAAGCGCGGTTTCTGTGTTACTGTTTGCTCTTCATGACTAGTACGCATATATCTACTCGAATCTTCTAATTGCTGTATTTTTTCAAGACCTCCAGGATGTTGACTGTCTTGAATAATGTCCTTTTTGCTAAGTACTGTAAGATTAGCGGAAGTGAATGCTTGGCCAGCTGCGTTATAAGCACGACACGTGTAATTTCCAAAATCTCTGACAGTGACGTATTTTATTGTCAAAGCTACATAGCCAAAATTAAAGAAAGAAGTAATCCTGGAACTTGCTTCAACTGGTTTGCCATCTTTCAGCCACTCTACTCGTAAACTGGAATCCCCTACAGGTTCTAAACGAGCTTCAAAATGCGCGAACCCTCCTTCTCTAATATTTAGCTGATCTTTAATCGGACTCTTAAAGTCTGGAGGTACAGTACATTCTTGTACCTCCTGGACATACTTGGATTGCTGATAATTTTGATATGCTTCTAACTCTTCTACTTTCTCGATATAGCGCTGTTGCTCTGGTATACCTAAATCTCCTGTGACTGTGCTTCTTACCTGTACTCGCAAAGTGCTCGTACTAATAGCTTCACCCAAACGATTGACGGCTCGGACTGTATATGAACCAGCATCTTCGGCCCGTAGGTGCATGATGTTAAGGGAGACGTAGCCGAAGTTGAAGATTGATGTTATCCGTGAACTAGCCGTAATTGGTTTTCCATCCTTGTACCACTCCACTCTCATCGTTGGATCGCTGACAGGCGTAAGTTGTGCTTCGAAATGCGCATTGCGACCCTCTGGCAATTCGCCTAATTCTTGGAGCGGGCGGATGAAGACTGGGCGTTGAGCAGATGTCTCTTCAGTGCTCTCGCTTCGTTGATAACGCGAGTAATCTTCAAGTTGCTCGATGTATTGAAGACTAGAAGGATGTTGAGAAGTTTGTTCTATAGAAGCCTTCGCAGTAACTTTAAGAATAGCACTCGATTCAGCGACGCCAGTTGAGCTAACAACGCGGCAAACATATTCACCGGCATCATGAACCATTATTCCAATTAAATCAAGAGCAATAAAGCCAAATCGGAAAGTCGTTGTTGATCGAGAACCTAGGAATAAAATACAGTTAATTCACATTCAACTATTTAATCCTATTTCCATTATTCTATATATATATATATATATATATATATATATATATATATATAACATAACGGCAAAAGATATTAAGTTAGCGAAGTCAAAATATTAACATGCAGAATATGTAATATACATCTTGTACACTTACTTGCTTCAAGGAGTTTTCCATTGAGATAAAATTCAACATACATTGTTGGATCTCCTACAGGTTCAATTCGCGCTTCGAAATGTACACGACCACCTTCGAGTTGCGACAAGTCCCTTAATGGAATAATAAATTGGGGCGGTGGATAAACTCGGTCTTCTTCACCAGGTGCAGTACGAGGTTTTGCGCGTTCGACGTGCCTTAAATATATTACTTCAGGTCCAGGAACAGGTCTAAAATAAAAACACCATGAAGTATGGAATAAATATCGCATTAAACATTTTATTCCCAATCACTCACTCTGGTTCGATAACTTTAGTTGGTCTTGGTAAATGCAATCGCCATGGTTCTGGGGTGACACCTTTCTCAGTCTCAACATAAAGTCGGGCACGAGTGGCCGTAGAGCCAGCCACATTTTGTGCGGTGCACTGGTACCACGCCGCATCCGACGCCTTGGCTCTGTAGATATCCAGTTTCGAAGCACCGCCATCAGTGGTGATCTTTACATCGGCACTCTGCATCAAAGGTACGCCATCTTTTTGCCATGTTATTCTAGGAACTGGTGTTCCAACAGCTCTAGCATTTAGTATAACAGGTTCTCCTTCCTTTACGTTTACTGTACTAAATCTTTCCACAAATTTAGGTGCGATAACTTGTTCTTTCTCGATAACGTGGAGCTGGCATTGGAATGAAGTTTCTCCACATTTATTTCTAGCTACGCATGTTACTACTCCACTATCAGAACGGTGTACGTTAGTTATCATTAAAGCGTGATTTCCGGACTCATTGACAAGAATCTTATGAGTAGCATCATCGTTCACCTGACGCTCATTTATAAACCAAGTGACTTCAGGATAGGGGCGGCCCGTAACACGACAATCAAATCTGGTCATTTTACCTTCGGTAGCTTCGCGATCTTGACAAACCCGAATAAAGTTAGGGGCTAAAGCTTTAGCCGAAGCGTCTGTTTCCTCCGGTTCATGATAAGATGGCTTAATCATCTGTTCGGTGCCATGGCCATCGAGAACAGGCTCAACAGCAAGAAAAGCAGAAGATACAACACATCCTTGAGGATTTTCCGCCAAAAGAGTATAATGTCCTGAATCTTCAGATGTTATTTGGCGTACTCGGAGACTAGCTTGATTGTTAGAATATGAAGTTTCACATTTCTCAGATTGTACAATTCTTTGTCCATTGCGGAACCATGTTAGTCTAGGTTTAGGATTTGCACCAACCTTAGCAGTAAAAACAGCATCAGAACCTTCTTGGAGTTTTGAATTGCGAGGTTTCTGCGATATTTGAGGAGGTGCTGCCGGTCCAAGTGTACGATCTATTGTACCACACAATTGTGCATCAGATTCGCCAGAATAGCGCCGTGTTATGGATTCTCTAAATGATGTTTCACGTAACAATCTATATTCAAATGTGTCTACTTTAAAATCTTCATACCGAGAGTACTGAGTATGACCATTTGTGAATGAATTTTCCGTCATATGTTGATAGCGGTATGATTGTGAATCCATTCTATTTTGCGAAGTCTGAAAAGTTTGCTCTTTTTGCAAAGATGTTTGAATGCTTGGCATAGGAACGCCTTCCGGTTGTATGAAAACTGAACATATGGCTTCACCGTAGTTGTTTCGGGCAGTGCATGTATATTCACCTTCATCACCTGGTCCGATTTGATTGATGAGCAACGACACATCACCTGTGCTTTCGTTGTAGCTCATGCGATACTTGCTGGATTCGACCATGGGCAAGCCTTTGCGTGTCCAAGACACAACAGGTTTTGGATTTCCACGCAATCGTCCCTCGAATAAGGCATTTCCGCCTTGTGCAAAGCGCGCGTTCTTGAAAATCTGTTCAAACACTGGTGGCGACATACCGCTTGAGCCTAATTGCTGAGAAATATCCTGAGCAATCATTCCTCCTTGAACTAAAAATAAATTTAATTAATATTATTATTTGAAATTTAAATTTATTGCATACGTTCAAACTTTATTTGATAATATTATGTTTTGTTTTTCCTCAAATTATCTGAACACCGATAAGTTAATGTTTTAAGATTCAACAATATACACAATAAAAATAAATATCTACAGAAATATAGACCGTACACAATTAGATGCACTACAATTGCAAGTCTAATCCAGAAAAATGTGCAAGTCATAAACTTCCATTCATAATACGCTTGCAGTACAAACTTTATGTGAAATGTTAATAAAGATATAAATATAAATAATATTAAAACAAATCTTCGTAAACAATCAATAAAATATTCATTATAGAGACATATACGTAATTTTCATCGATAAAAATTGTTCATTATTTTTTAGTAAAATCTTTATTTATTTATTTTAGCCGATTCATGATTATATACAATTATAAATAAATAAATACAGCATATCATTTGAGAGCCACTGATGGCGCAAGTAATGAATATCGTTGGCACGCAGCCCATTCGGCTATTTCGGTACGCCACTGGATCGTATTACGAGGACCGTTTTAGGAGCATCCGCCCAGGAGACATCACACAAAAGCAAAATAATTATACTTTGCTGATATTAACATTTCTTTTTAGTAACTAATTTAATTCATTTTGAAAATATAATTACATATGGTATGCGAATTAAAAAGCAATATGAAATTAATTAAATTACATTGCTGATATCATTTATTATCAACGATTTCATTTGACAAGATTTCAGGGTTACTATAGGCAATCATAATGTTATTGTAAATGACTGATCTTTATAAGTGATGTACTCGATATTTTTGAATAATGGAATACTATATAGATTTGAATAGGATTATAATTCCTGACCTCTCTGCTGACTAGTAACTTGTCTGGTGACAGTGCGATGCTCCATTTGGCTAAATTGCTGCTGCTGCTGCATCGTTTGATGCGTCCGATGCGTCTGCTCCTCATGACTGCTATAAACTTGTCGCTGCTCTTCCTGAGACAGCTGCTTCGAATTTTGACGGTGCATTTTCACACACCGTCTTTTCCGTTAACGCACTAATATCGCTATTTACCTTTGTTATCACTTCCAACACAATAAAACACACACTTTCTCAACAACAAATCCAAACAATTTTATCGTTCACGATAGTTTTTCCCTTTGGTCTGCGATCACTAGAATACACTCTCGCTTGTTTTCCACAGCACAACTTTTTTCTTCCAAATATCATTAAATTTTCTTCTGCACTATATTTTTTAAATTATCGTTTTATTCGTTGTCAGCAGATTCAAGTCACATATCACCCCGTTAAATCCAATTTAACATTTATTCTTTTTTTAAGTGACTTGTCAGAAATCCAAGACGTCGGTCGATTGTGAATCGTTAGCGAAGAGTGGCCGCGATAATGCCACAATATTGCATCGCTCTCCGAAATGGGCGGAGCGACATGGTTAGACCAAAAATAATTCAGTTCGCCCCTCTACGAGGCATAGGACCCGAGCGTCGGAAAGCTTTGGCAAAAAGATGGAATGTTCAACTATTATGTGTGAATAGTTTATTCCTTGCGTTTTTTCTTATCTCTATTTATAATTTTATTGCCATTTCCCTGTTTGTGATGATCTTCGCAGAGCGGATTCTTTTCACGGCGACCCAAACATTTAACCTTTCTTTGAAGCATTAACGTACAAATAAATTTTCCGCATATGAATTTTTTGCATCGAATTTGCAATTGATGCAAAAATACTTTTAGATTGAAACAAATTCCAAGCAAATATTTTATCTTTTTATAACTTGTAAATATAAATATGAATCTATACATATTATATTTGATACCAAACGTATTAAATATTAACTCTAATAAAAATGAAACCACTTGAAACCCGCAAAGATTAATTTAATTGACAATCCAAACTATTTACAATCCGTGCATAAAATTATTATTCGATTACAGCAACTTTAACAAAACGTAATTAAAATTAGGTCATGATGTATTTTTAGCATCCTATAAGATATGAACATGTTTCTTCAAGCATTTATGCTTTTCAGTTGCCAATTAATTGAGACAACAACAATACGGTTAGATACATGATGTTTGAAGATTCCAAATTGATATTGAAAAATATCAAATTTCAATTTCTTATATTGTATTTAAATTATTACAGCTTTCACGGAAAAGTATTCCACTACATTATAAATTATATTTTCAGTAAACAATTTTTAAACATGTTTCAAATTATGTCTTTATCATTTACTTCATTTTTGTCTATGTTCTCCATCAATTGGCTCCTCTAATATATAAAACATGCTACATAAAAAGTCTGCTGACCAAGGACGATTTAAAAATATGCCAGGACACATATTGTGGAACGTGGTTATGAATCACTTCATTGATAAGCAAATGATTCAAGAATACGCGATCTACATGATTCAATATTATTTTCATCTATTAGCTACAGACTTCCAATCAGATATTCCAGGTTCTACATCGGAATCTGCCAGCCCTATGTCAAGCAGTATTGGCATCGGTTTTCGCGTGAAAATATAAATAGCAATATTCTACCCTTAGCCTGCCCAGTAAAAAATTGCATCAGTATTGCATAAAATGTAGTAATAAATTAATAATATAGGCAGCACAACCTTTTGGATTGCCTTCTATCAAATCACGTCGTTTAAAAAGTCTGCACAACAGCTCATAGGACTAGTTAGGTTCTGATTGCCATTATATATATATATATATATATATATATATATATATATATAAATCATCTATCATTGTACCCAAAATTCGATCAATGTTTTATAGTTAAAGATTTCATATCGAATCCGTTGTGGAACACTTAGTTTTGTTTCGTTTGGCCGTTGTGTTATTGCTTCCTCACGTTTGTGTTATTTTAACTTCTGTTGTAATAAAATAAATATGTCTCGCTTACACGTATGCGAGATCCTAAGTTTGTATGAAATGTGGGCAGTTTCGTGGGTGAGTACATGGCTCTGTGTTTACATCATACGAAAGTAGGATTTTATAAATAACACTACTTCAGCAATTTTAAATTACAAATCCTAATTGTGAATTCATATTTCTTTAAAACTAAATATTCTAAACTAGTAAAACAAAAACAGGATGAAGATTTTAATTTTGAATGAAAAATACATATACTTCTGTTCTGTTAGACATAATAAAAATATTTGTTTTTTTGGTTTACAACCACTTGCAGATTTTGCAATTAGAGTTGCAATTTGAATATAAATACAAATATAAAATATAAATAAAATAATATAAATAGATTAAAATACACATATGTCTATTTTCTTACCTTGATCAAAATAATAATATTCCTTCCCTGCCGAATCGACGCTTCTTGATCTTCCTAGGCTTCGATATTTGTATCTAGCACAATCTGAAAATCAACAGAGAACAGAACAATCATAATTGATGAATGATAGAAAATATTAGATGTGGATGATCAAAACTTTCAAAATAAAAGTATCACAATTGTGTCATAATTCAAAGCCAAAAGAGATTTACTTATAAAGAGCAATTAGGATTTTAAAATCTCCGTTACCAGGAACAGTTTATATTCGGGAATAATCATTTTAAAATTATTCATTTATTTACTAAAGCATTTTAAGAGAAATTAAAAATAATACATAATATAAAGAAAGATGGAAGAAATAGATATAATGATTTTAAAATCAAATGATAAATTTCTCAAAATTTATTATCTATGTACTTCTATTTCTCAAATGATTGCATCTGAACAACAATTTCCCAGAAAAGAAATTTATATCTTCTCGCTAAAAAAATCCGATTTGTTAATTTTATGTTTTCTCGACGTGTCAAGTCATCCTGAATCGATAAACACTAAAATTGTGTGGGTGTGTATGCAAGCCAAAATTTGACAGCAACTCGGTATACTTATGAATCATCCATAAATTAATATATCAGTTTCTTATTAATTAAGTTGTTTATTTACATATGTCTGGAATTCATGCAACTTGCCTTAATTATCTACAGTCTACACGTATCTGGATATTCATGCAAATGACAATTACACACAATTCACCATGTAAATTACGATATAATTAGCATTTCAATCATAAATATAAATAATCTAATATTATCCCCATCGTGGATTTGTTCTGGAATCATGAAATTACCTCACGCTCAAGTTTCATTGCTCTACTTTGAGTGCATCAGACATAAAAATAATTATAAATAGCCTTTAATAAGCAACTGGTTTTGCATTACGATCTTGCCAAATATCAGAATGTTGCCAGCACAAAATTAATTAATGCAATTTGCTTTTGATCAATAAAGAATTTGAAATTGCAACTGAAAACAGTATTTACAGTAAGTGATCTCCACGCAAAGTATATATCATAATTTAATTATCTAGACAAAGTCAATTCAGAAATATGCTTTGCTAAATATTGATGGCAATAAAAACATAAATAGAAAATATATACCTAAATATAGTCCCCTGTGTTTCCTCATATATTCCACGCATATTTCAAATATGTACACATGGTAATAATAATTAAATGCGAATGAAAACACAATCAATTTTAGTAGTATATCAATAAAAATTAATTAAAAAGAAATGTTTTTAATGGCACGGCTAACTAAGAATTTTCATAGTTTTAGGCATTAAATACAAAGTTATACAAGGTGAATATTAATTCATTTTGCAGAAATGTATTAATCTCAAATTTGAAAAAGCAAAAGATTTCCAAAAAGCTAAAAGTTTAAAAAAAGTATATAAAAATCAATTGAACATTTAATACAATGTAATATAAAATAAATTTAGACGTAAATAGTATTTTGCCCTAAGGCAAGTTGCATGTATCACACTAACATATATTTGTATACCGTGAATATATTTAATGTCTCATGTTATATGTTATGAGCTCATGATTGATTATAATTGTGTCCTGTGAGTATTTTCGTTTGGGAGTCATATCGTTTTCTTTCGTTACGATATAAATAAAAGTTATAAATAAAATAGCTGCGAGCGAACCGATTGTGTCGCATGCTGAGCGAAGCGGGGCGGAGAGGATCTCGAGATGGCGATGGCGAAGACGAAGACTCAAATTTACGATTCCTACATACTTATACTCACTTACTTGAATCGAAATGGAAATTGTCGCATGCAGCGAAAAATAATAGTTGGATAAAAACAAACATGCGACGAATTCTAACGCATTCTAAACATTAGTCAATGGTTTACATACAGAATTTTATCGCAACATATAAGTGATCTCCTAGAGATTTTCCAAAAAACTTCAATCGATTTGTTTAAACATCATGACAGATGTATATATATATATATATATATATATATATATATATATATGGGGTCCTTAATATGGACATTTACGAATTTCCTTGCTCCCAAGGGCTCAAATGGTTCCAAATTGATAAAAAACAATTCTCTGAAAGTTTCAGCTCTTGTTGTTTTTTAGATAGTGCGCAATTCAGTCAAAGTTTTGTATGGAAAGAGCATGAAAAATTTTTCAAAAATTTTAAAAATGTTTTTAGATATAATTTAGCGAACAAATGAATAAGTTTTATTCAAAATTTGTTGCTAAGTTATACCTAAAAAAATTTTCTTATGCTATTTCCATACAAAGTTTGATTGAATTCCGCACTATCTAAAAGTTAATATTAAGCTGAAAGAATTGAGAATTGTTTTTTATCAATTTGAAACCATTTAAGCCCTTGGGAGCAAGGAAATTCGGAAATGCCCACATTAAAGACCTCCCTAACATAAATTGCGCATAGCCTGATATCAAGCAGTAGTGATATCCAATTTCACTTGAGAATATAGATTAAAATATATTACCAAGTGCAAATAGCCCTGCCTGGCAATAAATTATAATTGATCATCACTATTAGAAAACCAATTATTGAGCAGCCTTTTTATATTCAATGCCCATTGACCATTGTCTGTTTTTCCACTGTCCCAATACGACATTAGAGTTAGTTAAAACTTTATTTGGTTTCAAAGTCTTAAAATTCATTTACAATAATCAAATAGTTTCAACTGATCATTTATAAACGACTTCAAATTATTTTTATTATTTGAAAAAATAACTATTAACTAACCGTATTGATTAATTATTCATGAACGATTTCAAAAAACGAAAATTATTAAAGCTTTCCAATGCTTTCAATATTTTTATACATTATGAAAATAGTATATATTAGCAATTAAGTTATTAACAATTATTTACTTATAAACATTTTCACAAAATAAAAGTTGCAAAAGCCTTATAAAGCGTAAAATAATAAAATTAGTGCACACTTGCATAAACAATCATAATTTATAATAGAGGAAAAACTTTGGTGAAAGTAATATTCTCCTTTCGTGGATATTCGTAGAGAATTTGTATATTGATACAAATTTGACAAATGAGGTACAAAAATAGAGCAGACGAACGCTTTCATAATATATATATATATATATATATATATATAATTTTTATCTCTTATATTCATCCCCCACCAGCTCATAATTCTACACGTTGATGAAAAACACGACGACGGATTTGATAGTAATAATTGTCGGACTATTTTCGTTGTTTGCAAAAATGTTGCGCCGTTTATTTGTTACCTGAATCATCTCATCTCATCAGGAATTGAGTCAGAGTCGGCATGCGCGCGATCCGAATTGGTTGTGAGTCACATTCGCCGTTACTCTATTTTTGGGGCGAGAGAGCCCGATGATCGCTATGGCACACTTATGATATCGTTTACAGAAACGCATTCTTACCTTCGATATAAGAAATGACTCAGTTATTAAAAAAAATCATTTAATTCACAGAGAAATCATCATAACAGAAAAGCAATTCTGGGGATACTATTCTTTGGTGCTCTTGATTAAGACAAACTCACAAAAGTACAAAAGAGACTTCTATAGCAATATCTTATTGCGGTATATAATGAAATATGTTATTTAACAGTTAGAAAAAAGTAAGAGCATAGAAGAATTGCTAGGATCGGTTTATACTTTACGGAATCGGTCATAATTTTCTTAACTGATGAAATTACTATTCCCACGTCTACCTTAAAATTCACATTGATTTATACACGACTATATACTGCAGTACATGTACGTATAAAAAAAATTCGACATATATTGTCCACGCGTCATTGGTCCAGTGTCCCTAGAAAGTCATCCTTGCGAGGTTTTACTGTATATATTTGCATGATTTATTAAGTTTTATTGTTGATGCTTAACAAAAAGTGAGAGTTATTTATTTCGCTAGTCGAAACCGGCAACTTTTATATCCGTATGTTTCGTTAAACGTCAATCGTCAGCCTGCAATTTCATTGAAACTATTCACATTGAAATAAACACAGTAAATATATCCGCATGCTCTCATCCTTGAAATGTGTACAAGAAAAGATAGTTTCCAGAAAACTATTAATAAATATAGATAAATATAGAAAAGAAATATTTAAATATCAAAATTATATAAAGTTATTAATATATCCGCGCGGATATATATATATATATATATATATATATATATATATATATATATATATATATATATATCGGTGATAGATATATCGGTGTATTTTCAAACATAGTTTTGGTGCATTATGAGGTCTGTTAAGTGTTTGAATTGAAAAAAGTTTAACCATTGATTTTCTAAACATGGGGGCATCTCCTAATCCCGAAACATTGAATAAAATAATTATTTCGGCCATTATCCTGCCAAAGTTTGAAAGCATGCAATATCTTATAGAAATATACTATACTTGCCCATAAATACATGTACTTATTTTTATAATATCTATCATATTTATATATAACACTCATTGCATGCACAGATCATATTGGTACAATATTAATATCCTTGTTATGACACAACACTGATTCAATAATTTCTACAGGCAAGTTAAATTAATTACGAATGCAATTAATTTCATAAATAACTTCATCTTACCTTATGACTAAAAACCACCCACATTTTAGAACGAAATATGATATACCACACCTTTATTTTAATTTACAAAACTAAATTAAAACGTATTTTAATCCGTAGTTGATATTTGGTTCAGAATATCGAATACTTTTATTCACAAATAAATTTGTGTTTATATAAAAATACAAACACAACACTTAACACTTAACAATATATACTTTGGTTGACCACTTCCAAATTATTTCGTATTTTATGTGCACAAGAATGAATAATAAACGCTTTTGATCAGTTATAAATATACAATATATATATATATATATATATATATATATATATTAAATTTATCCACATAGCCGCTCTTAAATTATCTATTTATTTATTATTGAAAAGAAATTGTGCGATAGATCTTCATTGATATTCTCTTTGTACATAACAATTAGAGCACTAGAATATGAAAAAGAAAAATAAATAAAAATTGTTAATTTCATATATAATAATATGAAACATATATATTAATTTGAATATTTATATTTTAATATATTTCGGTGAAAATCAATTTATCTCGATAAAAAAAAATGGGAGTGACTATATGAATATGTATTACCCATAGCATTCCATATGTACATAAAGTAGAGGGTACAGAAGACATATACATATGCACGAAATGCACAATAGATACAATATAAAAATCAGCAATGCTTTATTTACAATATATCGAAAATTTATTTATATCATTACATAGAAATAACAATATAGATAGCTATAATAGAAATAACCAATAATAACAACAGTGAAAAGCACACAGGCTGAAAGCATCCTCAAGAATAATTTAATAAATAATAATAAATAAGATCTGATAATGATGATACAGTAGTATACATTACAGAAAACAGTACAAAAACTTAATCCATCACCAATAAGATAATCAAGCGACAAAAATAATTATATTAAAATAATATATTAGCCTGTAGAAAAGCTTACAATAATCAAAGCTCAATTGTCATGTCTGAATACTAAGTTAATTATGAATGAGTTGATATAATAAAATGTTGACTAGATTTCATTTGGTATTTTTTGGCAATACATTCCTTACATAAAGCTTTTTGTAGCATTTCTTTTAAAAAAACAATATTAAATAAAACGCGCTTATTATTTCAAAAAATGCAACAATGTTATGGTAAGCTACTTTTCAATTGGTATTCATTAACCTAATTACTCTAAGGCTTTCTTAAGTAAGTCGACCATTTCTCACCTGGTACTTGTAAAGTCGCCGAACAACCAACGGCACCTGCGCAATTTGTGGCCGTACATGTGTACGTTCCTGCATCATCTAGATAATTTATAACATTAAATAAGATTAATGTTTAAAACAATCCTAAAGAATTTGCATGTATCGAGAATAATAGGGTAAAGTGCAAGATTTTCTTTTAATTTAAATGCACTAGTATTATTAGCATTATTTTCTTAAAGGGCACTACATAAGCAACCTTATGCTATATTTACAATAGTAGAATGAAAAATTTTCATCTTTACCTGGATATGCTTTTAGCAAAGTCAGCCTGCAAACACCATTTCTAAAATAAGTTTCATGATTCAGTGTTGGCTGCAACATTCGTCCATCTTTTGCCCAAACAATAGACGGACTTGGTTCTGATTGGACAATACACTCAAACCTTGCTGATTGACCAGAAACTGCTGCTATATCTTTGAGAGGCTGAAATAATAAATCAAATTATATTTAACTCTGCACTTAATAGACAAATATTTCTATTGGTAAATGTGAAATTACTGTTATAAATAAAGGAGGTTTAGCTATTTCACCATTGTGTCCAGTGGAGTATACTCTTGAGCTGGCTGGAGTGCTGTTGCAGCTGCGATCTGAAAATTGAAGATAATTATTAATTAACAATTTTCAATTAACTCCATTTTTGAAACGTGCAAATAATTCAACAAAAATATACTTTCGAAAATTACAAAATTCTAGTAAAGATACCTACTTCGTTTTACAGATACACTCATAAAAGCATGCAGCATCAAAATAAATATAGATATATTATAACTGTCTCGAAAAACGGTAATTGTTAATAATTTTTGATCAAACAACACTCATCGAACCTGAAGCATCAGGTTGATAGAAATATCGTGGCGACTGCGACGGTATGCTGGGAGATAAAGATTTCGGACTGGGTGTAGGTTGATCGTATCTCCAGCCTTGGTGTTTCATTTCTTCCGCATCCGACCACTCGCTCTCCGATTCCCATTTCACGTTTTTGTGAGTACTTTGGGGCTTTTTACACAATGGCAAGGTATTGAAACCCTGCTGAACACCGTTCGACTTTTCGTGTATGATTGGAACTTCTATGTCGCCGGTGCGCCCGGACGACTTTGCAGAGGAACCACCACCGGCCAAAACTTTCTTTCCCTCGCCGGGGAACAAAATACCGAACTCATAACCAAAATCGTATTTGAAATATATCAAGCCAGTGTCTGGATCTATGTGCTTAGTTCCTAATAAAACGTATTGAATGTCCGAAATTAAAATTTGTAGTATTAAAGTTAGACTTTAAAGAAACGAAAAGGTCAAATGTGTTTATAATTACCTCGTTAAGTAAAAAATACTGCACATAAGCATTAGCTGCGTGTAAGATAAACAATTATAAGTTAACAAATTTAACATAATTGTATTATTCAATTAGATTTTTAAAAAACGTAGTTGTTTGCAATTAGTATGTGAAATTTACTTTCTGTAAACATTTTTGTTCAAATGTTAAAATTCATATTTATGTGTTTTTTCATACGAATGTATAAGCAAATAAATCAATCTTATATTTAGAAAAATCATAAACCCACATTTTGATTTTAAACTATAATTATATTATATTTCTCACCGTATTGAGCGAAACGTGATTCCTCCCTGTAAGCTTGCGCATTGCTTCCGCCGTCTTCTACATTCGATTTCTGCTGCGATGTCTTCAAGATAGGTTTCTGTTGCTTGCTCTGCTGCTTTACATCAGTCAAAACATCATCTGCAAATCTGTGCACTTTACTTCTAAACATTTCCGACATGTCCGTCATATGAGAATTTGCTAAACTTGTCGCGACATTGGTAAAAGTTTCTTTTTTATAACTATCTTGTTTCATTTGCATAGATTTTCGTATGTCTAACGTTTTGGAAATTTCTGTCGGCATAACTGGCGGTTCTTTGTCAAATTCCATAGGGGTCATAACTCTTCCATAAGATCTAGGTAAACTTGCTGATCTAGTAAATACAGGTGCACGAACTTTACGGTAGTAAGGTTCTTCAGAATCACTATCCGGAGGAGCCCATTTTGCCTTGATTCTTGTCGATTCCACTTCGCTCTCGTAATCGCTTTCCCTGAATTCACCAGGTATAAATTTCTTAGGTTTTGGCACTGAACCCGGGGCAGATCTAGTCTTAGGTTTTTCAGCTTCCGGTTTGTAAGGAAAAGGTTCTAATTTAGTTTCTTGTCTTGTATCTTCACCGAATTTTATTACTCGAGTAGTCTGACTAATATTTAGTACTCGATGGCTGCTCTCAGTACATTCATTAAACTGCATGGATTTTGATGTCTCTATAGCATTTGCAACCGGAATACCAGCTTTTCCAGTATAATACTGTGTACGTTTTGGTGGCGGCACGTATCCCATTTCAGGCTGTGGACCTGGCTGTAAAATTATTTCTTTTCTAACAGCAGGTGTAGCAATTATGTAATCTTGAACAAGAGCTTTTGCAGCTACAGGTTTTGGCTTATATATTTGTTGTTTCGTAATCGTTTTATTATTTTCAAAAGTTTTTGTTTTGGTATCTAGCTTTTCAATTGGCGAGAATTTAGGCCTGGGTGGTCCGGTAAACTCGGGAGGATTATCAAATTCTGTAGGAGGTGTTGGTGACTTCTGACCGTCGGAATTTTGAGAATATCTGCCCGATTTTGGGGCACTTAGAGATACACGCACCGGTCTATAAGTCTTTTCATCCGTATCCGACTCGATTGGTCGCCACATTGCTGGAATTCGAGAATCATAATCGCTTTCATAGTCACTTTCGCGAAATTCGCCTTTAACGAATTTGGAAGGACTCGGCGGTGGCGGGCATGATGCTCTTTTCGGTTTAGGAGCATCAGGTTTGTAAGGAAAAGGTTCCAACTTGTCACTGATCTTAATTTCGCGAGACGTCATCGAAATATTTTTGATTGTCGCATCCTGAAATTTGAAATATAATCATTAATAAACAAACATTATAACATATATAGTTAAGAATAATAAGCATACTCTCACGTGTTAAATAAAATTACATTCATAATTATCCAAAATATCAAAATCAATCAAAAAAATCTACCATTAACATATTAATATTGATTTAACTAAACACAAATAAAACACAGTACGATCAGTGTACAAACAAATCTTCATACTCATTATCATATTCAAAATTATTAGTACTTCCATGCAAACTCAAACACAGTTTCAAACCTTAGATTCAGATGCTACTACTGGCTGCACAAAAGTTTTGTCAGCCCTAACGTGATGACGATAAACTTTAATTGGTGGTGATTTTCTTTCTGTTGATTCATAAGAAATATTTGTGCTTTCATGCTGATATGATTTAGATTCTGTCATTTTAGAAAATCTTCTTAAAGTATCTTCAGTGTCCGCCATGTATCCACTCTCAGGTTGAAACTTTGGCTTAGTTTTTGGCGATTCCACTTTTACTTTCTTAATCGGTTCTGTTTGTGCAAAAACTGGTGGTGGACCTGGTATTAATACAGGTTCAGATGAAACAATATCACTTATCTGTGACACTTCTGAAGTTTTTGAATGTTTTTCAGATGTAGTAGATTTTATAAATGATTCTTGTTGAGCTTTATCTACTTTCAGTATAGACTTTTCTATTTCCAATGGTTTTTCAAATTGACTAGGCGGCAAGCTAACCGGTTCTGTTGAAAGTGGTCTTTTTGGCGCTGGACTTGGTGCTTGTACTCTTCTAAATCCTTTAATATTATCTTCCTTTACTTCGCCAGGTGTCCATTTACTTTTAATTTTAGCGTTTTCAATCTCACTTTCATAATCGCTTTCTATAAACTCTCCTTTAATAAATTTGGACGGAGTTGCTGGAGGTGGACACTTCATTTTCGGAACTTCAGGTTCTGGTTTAAATGGAAAGGGTTCTAATTCTGGGAAGGGCTTAAATGCACTCAACTCCACAGTTGGTTTGGCAGGAAGAGGAGGTGCAGGTGTATATTGATCTTTAGGCGGAATGGGAGGGGCAGTTTTTGGAGGTGGAATTGTTCGTACAGCTCCTGGAAGCACACGGGATGGAATTTTGTCCAATGCTTTTTCTAAATCTTGCTCGATCGTTTCTACATGTGATTGCCTTCTCTGTAAAGTAGTTCTTGGTGCAAAGCACATTTCAGGTTCTGGTCCTGGTTTTAGTCCTATATCATCTTTAGTTTCACTGGACATGCTCATATCTTCTCTAGTCTTTGAAATTAATTTCTGTACCATTTGCGGAGATTGTAAAGCGTAGTCATCTCTGAAGGCATGACGTTGCCAAGATTTTTCTTCGGTTTTAATCTCTTTAAATATTTTGCTTTCCTTTTTAATTTCTTCAGAAATTATGGTAGAATCAATAACTGGAATGTTTTGCTTTTCTGAAACAGTTGTATGTGCAACATAATGTAATTTTTGTTCAGGTCGTTGAATTTTTGGAAGTGTATTGTATTTGATGGATGCATTATCATCTACTTGTGATTTATGAGTTACTGTTTCCAGTTTTGGCATCTCTTGAGCTTGTTTTGGTGACCATACTGCAGGAAATGACGAATCTGACTGTTTATGCACTGACATAACATCATATTGTGAGGACGTTTTAGTTTCTTCTTTTTTCAAGCTGGTAATGGTTTCCACTTTTTGTTCTTCTTCTTGCATAGGTGGCCAAACAATAGGAAGTGAAGAATCTGGCCTCTTGTGTGACCATATCCTATCCATTGCAACCCCATCAGCAGATGGTACTCCCTTATCTGAAGTTTGCGACATTTCAGAAAAGGACCTGTATTCATTATCTGAAGACCAGTACGTGCTGGATTTATCTTTTGGTGAGATTGGTCTATTCCAAAGCTTCTGCATGTCAATTGCCTCCGCTGACGGTCTTGGAGATGTAGGTCTTATTTCAATATCTGATGATGGGCGATAAACAGGTTCTGTTATAACTTTATTTTCATAGGAAGTTTGTTCAAATATTTGTGAATTAAACTCAGTTTTTAAACCATCTAAAGGACATTCTTTAATTTCTTCTTTCGGAGTTGGGGGTATTGAAAATAATTTTATACCGCCCGTTGGAGGTACTACATCATCCTTTTGTATTTCTTGTAATTTCTTAATTTTTTGTGCTACATCCTCAGTTCTTTTCACTGAACCTGTTTTGGGCATATATCCAATTTCTGGTGGTGGTCCCGGTTCTAAACCAAAATCTTCGAGTAATGATTGGGAATATTCTTGTTTAGTTACTGATGAGTATTCAGTAATTTTAGGACCATAAGTAACCTCTTCTATGGGAGAAGAAACATAAGGAATAATTGGAACCTTTGGTTCTTCAGGTTTAACAAACTGTTCAACTGGCGTTTGCATTTTAGAAACGAAAAAATCTAATGCAGATTTTTTACTAATCGATCCAGATTCAATCCCATCTGTTTGACAAATGGCAAAAGGTTGTATATCGGTGACAGTAGACTTATCAGAGCTCACTGTAGTTTCAGTGTTCATGCCAAAAGATAATTTAGGTTCAGTCTCTGATTTCTTATCCATGGTTGAGATATGCGCAGTTTGTGTTTGCTGAGTTATTGTAGGAAAATCTGTTCCGACGGACATAGATGTTTTATGTTCCATTTTGAATTTTTGTTCTGTTTGCCGAGTTTCAGTAACTAAAACTGATTCTGTTTGTGATGTCATTTGAGTTGTAACTTGTGAGTTCACATTTGAAGTCAAATCCTGATGCATAGGTTCCGAAGTAACGGGTTGTTGAATTAATGATGTCATGGGTTTCTATGGTACAAATATAGTGAACAATGAGTTGAAAAAAGGATAAATAATATTATTTAATCAATATAATATCCTAAAAATGATTCTAAAAAAAACTGAAATTAGATATTATATTTATATATACATACTTTTTGGGTTTGATCTTGTAAATCTTCATACACCATAGTCTTAACAACTTCAACCATAGTATCGGGAGTAGGTTCAAATACTGCAAAGTCTGCTATACTTTGAGCTTCACCTCCAGCATTTATGGCACGTACCATATATTTTCCTGTATCTTCCATGGATACTATTGATTCAAATGTAAATTAATACTGACATAGCAAATAAAAATTTATGTGTTAGTGACAAGAAATTTGCTCAAAATAGGTTTACTTTAAATAGGCGATCTACAAAACATGAATATTATATAATCAAATTTGATCAATATGAAAGACAAGTGCATACCTTTATCGATGATTAATTGATGACACAGCCCTTGTGTTTTTAATCGAAAAGGACTTGCCATTGCTTCTTGAATTGGTTTACCATCTTTATGCCACGTAACAGTTGGTTCAGGTGTACCAGAAACTTCAACTTCCATAATGACCCTATCACCTTTCTTCACAACTTGTGCTTGTAGCCGTCGTCCGAAAACAGGCGGAAAAACGGATTCTATATAAACAAAACATGGATTTAATATAAAGTACATGTTTTAATGACCACATTTATCAGAACTTACTCTTAACAACAATATCTGCTGTGCTGCTAACAACGCCTGCACTATTAGTTGCCGTACACGTGAATCTACCGGCGTCTTCTATTCCAACATTTTTCAATTCTATTCTAGCTTTGTTAAATTCATAAGTCATACTGATTACATTTCCACCCACGTACAAATCTTGCCCATTCTTTGTCCACTTTACCACAGGTGTTGGGTATCCATCTACAATACCTTCCAGCACAATATCTGAACCCTTGTCGACAATCCTCCCCACCAATGGAGATATAAATCTAGGTGAAACTGATTTTCGTACATGATGAAATATTTTCACTGGTTCAATTTTTGTCGTTACCGATTCCGTAATGCTGGTGTTTTGATCCATAGTAGTACTGGATAGTGTTTCCTCGCGTGTTGAAGCTGGTTCTTCATCTGTTTGATGATATTCTTCAATTTTCTGCGTTTGAGTTACAACTGGTGGTTCATTGTTAATCTGTTTCTCTGTACTGTGAGATTGACTAGTTACTTGATGAACTACATGCTTGGGTTCTCCACTGCCATAAGTAGTGCTAGAGTGCGAACTAGATTGGGTAATAATTTCCTGTTTCATGTAAATGGATTTTGTATCATTAGAATTTTGTTCGATAATGGGCATTACTAATTCATGATGTGTTTGCGAGGAATCTACGCTCAAAGCGGCTACGCACGTAGTTCTCCCAACTTCGTTTTCAGCTACACAAGAAATATTACCTTTTAAATTTTCAGTTACTGCTGGTATTGTTAAAATTTGTCGATCTCCGCAAGTCGATACCAAAAAGTCTTTGCCTGTCACTGGAGAATTATTAAAAAGCCATTTAATCTTTGGTGTAGGTTTACCTGTTACGATACACTCAAATTTCGCCGGACATCCATCCGGAACTTTGCAATCGGAGAATAATTCTTTGAATTGAGGTGCAATGTAACCAAACTCTGCCTGAATCTGCACGGGTTTTTGACTATCTCCTACGTTTACTGATTTTACTATCAAATTGGCGAAGCATTTAGCGTCTCCGTTTGTATTAAATGCTTTCACGGTATATAAACCTTTATCATCGGGATGTACTTGCAGAATTGTTAAACTAACTACACCGTCGTCTTTTAAGCAGATATCATACCGTTCATTTGATATTAATTCTCGAGTATTATGATACCATTTAACATAAGGTTTCGGATCACCAGTCACTTCACACTCTAATAAAACTTTCTCGTTTTCGGGAACTAAAACGTCCGTCAACAACCTTGTAAATTTAGGCGCAAACCCAGTCGGTAAAACTTTCTCGGGCGGTGTTACTTCTTGGGGTTTATTGACTTTAAGGATACAAGTACTGGACGCTTCGCCTGCGGAATTGATCGCAACCACTTTATAAACTCCAGCATCTTCAGAGAACACTTCTCGAATGATTAACGAACACCTATCTCCTTGAAACAGGAGTTGGAATTCAGAAGATTCTTTCACAGGTCTATCGTTGTGATACCAGATAACTTCAGGTTCGGGCTGGCCAACAATAATGCAGTCGAATCTGACGGAATCGCGTTCGAACGCTGATCGATCCTGAAGTGGCATCTGCACGGATGGCTTGATGGGCTCCATGTCGCTCGGCTGTTCGGAATCTGAAGTTTCGTTGGGCAGAAGACCCTTCACTGAGACGTTGCATGAACTGGTCACCGTTCCGGCGATGTTTCGAGCGGTCGCTGCGTACAGTCCAGCGTCTTTTGGGAACGCTTCGTTTATTATGAGCGTCGCACGTTGACCGTCCCGATGCAACTAAAACATTTTATTCAATGTCTCAACTTTGACAAGGATGCCCAAAATGATAATTATATATATATATATATATATATATATATATATATATATACTTTTCCTAACTAAATATCGATGTCTGTTAAAACACATTTTTGTAACTGTGAACGTCAGTGTAAAAAGGAGTATTACATTGTACACTGCATAATTATTGCCCTGGGCGTTAAATAAATAAATAAATAATTGAACTTACAGGTATAAATTTTTAAAATTGTTTACTTGGCACTAAAGCAATAAATAATAATCAGCGTTAGTTCGTTGAAAAAAAAAATCAAAAGTAGATACATATTTTGAACGATTCGAAATCGAGATATCTATACGTTCGATTATCATTATCTTGCGCAAACTCGACAAGAATATTCAAAAATAAAACAAAATGAGATAAAATACAAAATAATAACTAACTTCTTATTGGCCAGTCAATTCGTAATTGGTTTTATTGCTTTTCTAAAAAAATATATATTCTACTTTCTTTTTATCAGCCCTGTAATTAAGTTTATTTTCGGTAAGAGAAGGAAAGCGACAAACGAGCAATCGAGTCTATTTTAGTTGACATACGAAACTGGAGCACTCCTCCTCTTTGCTTGCGCCGATACTGATTTTATTTATGTGATAGAGATTGTGGAGTTTTGGCAACGAATGCAATATTATAAATAAAAACACACCAAACGTCCTCCGAAGCATCGCCACATAATATCAAAACCGATAATATGTAGTAAAGCAAATAATTACGAAGTTTTGCCTCATCATTTCGAAACACATGCTTTAATATTGAATCTCAGCCTTGGAATTAATAATTCTATTTAAATAATCTAATTTGTGTTTCAAAACATTTTTGGCATGAGTTTATTTTAAGTAGGCATAGTTAATAAAAATAAACATTATGATTATATTTTTCTAAGTACAGCCTCCGTTTTTTTTTCAATAATTTTAAAAATAATTTATCATACATGATTGTTTCTACGTTTCACTCAAAATCGATCAATACAAATTTTTAAGAATTTTTATAGTTAAACCACTTTTTGAAGGAATGTAATATCCCATCAGACAGTTTCAAACTTTCAAACAGTTTTTAAATTTTCGAAATCGACGAAAAATGTTGCACTTGTTAAATCAACTTTATTAATTCAATTTCTAATAAGTGTTTATTGAATTTTCTTGATTTAAATCCTTCAAAGCCCTTAAATAAAAAAAAATCCGAATCATAGAAATAATTATAAATAAAAACTAATTAAAAGAATATTAAAAAAAAATCAAAGTTTTAGTTCTTAAAAATAAAATAAATAATATTAGCTATTGAAAAAAATTTAAAAAACAATAAACAAAACATTTTTTTGCTACCTTTGAGTCAGAGGTTTCCATGAATGGTTTTCCATTATGAGTCCATTGAATTTGGGGTTCTGGTATACCTGATACTTGGCATTCCAATTTCACTTTTTGGCCGGCTCTTGCCATTGTGTTAGATAGTGGTATTACAAACACTGGTTTTTCAGTTGGTTCAAGAGCTGAATTAAATATTATTTTAATAATTTTATCTAGTCCTTAAATGATATATGAAAAACTTACGTTCAACCATCAGATATGCTTGACATTGATCAATACCAGCATCATTTGTGGCTTTGCACATATACAAAGCATGATCTTCAAGAAATACTTCTTCAAATCGCAAAACGGCCTCTCCATTATTATATGTAATTCCATAATCTTTAGAATTGTCTATACACACATCGTTTTTATACCACTGCACTGTAGGTAACGGATTTCCTATCACTTTGCATTCAAACTGAAAGCTTTTACCTTCCATGGCTTTACCTGGTTTCAATAATTCTACAAACTGAGGTGGTTGCAAGAGAGTATTGACATCAGTTTCTCGAACCGATAACGTTGCACATGTGTCTGCAGAACCATAATTATTAATTGCTTTACATCTGAATTTAGCAGAGTCTTCTGTAAACGTTTCTTCTATTGTTAGACTACACTTTCCGTTCTCAAACACTGTTTTATAGTCAGGATTATTTTGTATACTCATACCATCTTTATACCATGTTACGTCAGGTTCAGGATCTCCAACAACTTGGCATTCAAATGTAAATTTACTACCCTCAGGAACTACTGCATCCGTAAGCAATACAGTAAACTCTGGCGCTTTACCTAAATCAACAGTTTGCGATTCAGATGTTGTTGTTTTTACTGTTATTTGTTGAATCATCTCCGATTGCGCTAGTAACTCCGCTTCCAATTTAGCTTTTTCAGCCAAACTTCTATCAACTTCATCACGTTCTATAGCAGCTGCTTTCAAATTATCTATTGCTGTTCTTAAATTGTCTCTCATGGTTTCGAAAGAAGTCATCATGTCGCGATTGGAATTTTGAATCTTATTGAGATGTGAATATCTGCTATCATCATATAAATCTCTTGCAAGTGCAGACATTTTGTTAAGACGTTCGTTTTGTTTATACTCGCCAGAACTTATAAAGTGTTCCATTTCAGATAATAATTTATTAGCATCGTCTTCAGTCTTTATTGTTGCAATTTTACTAGCTACAGTTAATAATAGTTTGTTTCCTTCTCCAAACCAATCGTCGGTCTAAAATAAAGAAAGTTATAAACACAAGCCTTTCACTCACAATTACACATACAGAAAACGTACCTCATCTACCAATTTGAAGTATTGCATACTCAAATCAATGAGCCTTCTGACTTCAGAAACTTCATGTCGAAAACCATTCCAACGGCTACTTAGAGCATCCAAATCACGTTTTATACGTGGGTAATCTTTTGTTTGGTCCGAAAATATTTCATTTGAGGATGAAACGAATCCATCAATTCTATTTTGCAGTAGCTAAAAATCAATATTAATATAAAAGACATTTTAATTAAACATTTAAAATAACTGACAAAAATTATATAATAAAATAAATAAAATATGTGGTATATTATGATTAGGCATACATAATTAACAGTTCTCTTTGATAATTCCTATTATAAACTAGTATTATTCATTCATTTTTATCTCCTACCTCGATCGTTCGTTCGAAATATTCAAACGCCAGTGATGATGCTTTCGCTGTGGCCAAAGTCTCGCCGTATTGTCCTCGAACTGACGCTAGTTGCCTGACCAGATCGTCCAACGTACTATTGATGTCTTTCAAATCTGCATCAAATTGTCCAGTTTTCATTGATTCATCGAGAGCCAATTTAGTTGCATTCCAAGAGGCTTCAAAACATGATTTCCTATGTTCAAGCATCGTCAATATCTTCTCAATGTCGTGTTGAGCTGCAAGTTTTGGTTCCTGTTGCCTAATTTTATTTATTACTTCATCACTTTCATTCACAATTAACTTAAACATTTCCATGATTATTTTCTTGGAGGCTTCGTGATCTTTGGCGAAATTTTCGAGGTCAGTTTGTAAATCCACCGGTAATCTATGTTTGCTCTGAATATTTTCAATAGATTTATCCAATTCTGCAACATTTCGCAAGAAGGATATGATAGACTGGACTAATAGTTTGTATTCAGTACTCGTAGTGTTTAATTTTTGTTGCAATTCCTGAAGATTGTTCTTCACTGGCTGCGTTTCATCGAGCAGAGATGTATCTTGAGCGACTAAATCTTCTGTTAAACGAAGTTTAGTTTGTATATCATTCTGAGCTTGTACTATTTCGTTTGTAACCCTTTGCAAGGTACTTTCAGCAAAAGCAACTAATTCACTAGCATTTGATGTAGGGGATGTAAGGACTGGATATATGTTGCTATCTAATTTTGAAATCCAATTAATAACCTAGAATAAAATAATATTGACATAAACATACGAGTATATCTACATACGTAAATTCTGTTTGCACAATATTCTGGGCTAACTTCCAAGAACCACAAATGATATGCTACAAATTTTTATTCGTAGGCGCAATGGAAACGAATTGAGAACATAATTTATTACAATCATAAAATTTAATAATGCGAAACCTATAACTGTAAATTACATAAGTTATTCCAAAAAATATTTTGAATGTTAGGATTATTTTAGATTACAAAATGGTAACATCGTTTCTTAATTAAAATCACATTATATTGCATGTGTTTGCATAAAAAAAACTTATAAATACATACATGACAAGCTTATTTTGAAATTGATACTTATTTTTGTGGTATAGAAATGAATAGATACAACATACATTTGTTATTATTATACATAATAAGTAGCATGCGCAAATATTAGTAGAGAAATCTATAAATTCCCTCTCTTACCTGTCTCGTCTGCTCCATGGCGCTCCTCCACTCCTCGTACACCTGTCGGACGGTGGTGATTTGCGTGCGCCAGGTCTCCTGCTGCTCGATAAGCCTGAACTCTCTTCCGGAGAAACCGTTCAGAATTTCGTCGATAAGCGAACAGGCAGTGCCTATCGCCAAATGGCGGTCGCTGACGGCTCGCTGTAATGAAAAACCGTCAAAGCGTTCATGCACGTTCGTGAAATTTAAAATAGATCTGCTGGCAACGGGCGCCAGATACCGACAACGATTTGTAAACATTCGATTCGAGCAGTTGCCGCTGTCGAACCATTCGACACGGTATAAGAAAATTTTATGTTGATTGATGGTGTAAAAACTTTGTTTGAATACAATAGGATTAAAGGAATTATCAAATTTGTTTATTAGCAACTATTATGACTTCAAAATCATTCAAATAAAATTTTAAATAAAACTTCACAGATTAATTCTCCTTAGCTAAATAAGTTAGTAAGATAATTTATTTATTAACCGGTCAATCTATAAATAAAATAAATTTATAATGAAGTAAATAAATTGTAAATTTATTAGTATTATAATATTACCTGCTCTGCAGATCTTTTAAATCCAGTTCCACTGTTTTTAAGCTGATCATACATGGGTTTAATAACATTCCACTGTACGTCCATAAGCCTAATCTTATCCTCCATCGAATGCGCCGAAGATCGGACCAACAGTTGATCCAATGTATCGAATTCTGCGCTAAGCTTATCTGCGTCAGTTAGAAATTGTACGAATACTGAAGAGAGATCCAGGCGCAATTCGACCAAAGCTTTAAGAGTAGTCCAATTCTCGTGCAAACTTTCCACCTTTCGATCGACTTCTCTCCGTTGCTCGTCGTCCAGATATTCCAAAATTGGTGGTAATGTCAATAGGAGGGCGTTGATCTCGTTACCCTTTATCTAGAAATAAATAATTCTTTTCAATTTGTACAAATATCAAATAACGATCCATAATTACAAATGAACAAAATTTCATTCAAATGTTAAATACGGAAAAAATGGGCTTGTTTGTTTGAATACTTATCAAATAATTATTATCTAACTGCGGTGTTGAATCTATTACAATCAACTATCTAGTTAGTATTTACCTCTAGATTCTTCAATAATTCATGATGGAAGCTATAGAAGTCTTTGGCTGTGGGCAGATCATGTCCCATGTCCCTGCGTTCCTTCAAAGAGATTTCAGATATCGTTCTAAGCCAGGATGAAAGTTCATCTTGTTTTTCCTGGAACGCAAACAACGCCTCGCCGATTTTTCTGTCCGTCCTTCGCATCTCATCGCACTTTCTCCTCAATTCTATCGCTCTGTTCTCGATCTCTTCTAATAAATTTCTGACACCTTGTGATCCCGGATTGTTGACACCACATTCTGTTAACAAATCTCTTCCTTCTCGAATTACGTCCTGCGTAATTTCATCAACAGCATTTGTTATAGTGACCGGAGTGAGACGAGGCAACATTCCTACCAGGTCGTTTTGTCGTACTTCGCGTTCGAAATCATCAAGACGATTTAAAACCTATGAAAATAATTAGTTATAATATTTATATGATGGTACAAATTCAAAATATTCATAATATGTAAATCTTCTTTTAGTATTAGCTTTTGTAACGTATACAACAATTAAAAAATACAATATTTACTTACTTGTCGTCCATTTTCGTAAAATGCTTGCGCTCGTGTCAATAATGTTTCCCTGCTTTCCAAGTCGTTTAAGAAATCTGAACATCCTCCCAAAACACTATAAGCTTTATCACTGGCTTCGCGTCCTGCAAAACAGCCAGATTTTACCAACTGTTCGGTAGCCCTGGTTATTTTAATCGCACGCTCTTGTAATTCTTTAACTTCCTTCAAAAAATTGTTAATATCCACTATCAACATTGACGTTTCATACTCGGATTCACCCAGATAAATATCAGATCCAATTCGTTCTTTATGTTCCCTTATAGCATCTTCCAATTCATGTAAGTCTCTCGCCAACATAGCCAAAGCCAAACATTGCTCCAACCGATTTTTTCTATTTTGCCATGAAATTTCCAAAATTTTCCTCCTATCGTGCATCGCTTCCAACCAGCTTTCAACTTGTTTGATAGCAGATCCAACTGACGGTTTAATTTGTCCTGGCCTAGAATCTAAGGTACCTATATTATTTAAATCTTTTAAATGGTCTAGTAAATGGCCTCCCTCTTGTAGAGCAGCCATAACAGATTCCAAAACCGATCTTCTCAAATCGTGTATTTCAGTGAGAGCTTGTTTAACTGCATCAATTTGAATGGGAAGTTCCTCATCGCGACAAATAATATTAAGGGCTTCCATACGTTGGAGACATTGTTCGAATTTGTTTGAAAGGTTACACTCAGGTCTAATATTTGTTTTCTGTGTTCTAGGTGATTATTTATGCTCTGCCACGCAGTTCCTAATGATTCGGCCATCGCTGCATAGACCTCTGGTTCCGGACGCTGGGAGGATACTTTCTTATCGACTTGGCGCATTAACTCTTCGACGGGAGTAGCCTTGTTCTGGAAAAAAGAAAAAAGTCAAATTATTCGGTCTCTCATTATCACTACATAAAAATCAATATAATTTAATATTAATTGAAATTTATTAATATAAATTGTATAATATTTGAAAGAAGGTCATTCTTAAATTATATCTTGACTTGTAACTTATCTGATAATAAATAATTTAAAATTTACCTCTTTTTAATTCATAAATGCACTTTTAACTTATATACAAAATTGTTAGCAATGTAGAAAATTCAGTCTAGCATACAATTTTACTTTTTTTACTTATAATTATGATATTAATATTATATAAATGCAATTGAATTTATTTACAGAACATCCAGTAAAGTCATAAATATAAAATAACACCACATATAATAACATAGTTAAACTTAAAAATTATTTCATTAAATTTTTTTTTTTCATTTATATTACTCAAGATATATAACTTACATTAAGATTAAGCCTGAAGCAAACTTCAGTTTTTGGATTAAAATAAGAAACCCTACTGTATTTACTTACATCGCTTTATAAACTTAATGAAAATAAATAATAATTATGGAGCACATCCTCAAATATGATGTATTGACAAGCAAACAAGACTGAAGTCAACATGCTTTTCGCCCACATAAAAACATATAGCGGTATACGCCCTTTCGAAGTCTGTAGGCTGTTGCACCCATAAAAGCGTGAAAAGAAGATCACAAAATACAAATACCGTAATTTTTAAAGTCTACTGGAAAGGCTACTACTTTATTTATTTATATCCACGATATAAATCATTTAGTTCTCCTCCTGGAAACAAAAACGACAAAATATAAACGTCGCCCTACTTCGCAAACAGATATAGCATCTCACAGCGCAAATATCACTTTAATGACTTGCTATAAATCATAAGAAAAGTTTACAAATAAATTTAACGAAGAATTAAATTCAAACATTACTGGAAATCGAAAGTA